ACCAGGATGGTCTCGATCTCTTGACCTCGTGATCCACCCGCCTCGGCCTCCCAAAGTGCTGGGATTACAGGCATGAGCCACCGCGCCCGGCCTACAAATTGAGTTTAACAGGACAGACGCAGTGGCTCACTCCTGCAATCCCAGCACTTTGGGAGGCCGGGGCAGGCGGATCACCTGATGTTGGGAGTTCGAGACCAGCCTGACCAACATGGAGAAACCCTGTCTTTACTAAAAATACAAAATTAGCTGAGCATGATGGTGCAAACCTATAATCCCTGCTACTCAGAAGGCTGAAGAAGGAGAATCGCTTGAACCTAGAAGGTGGAGGTTGCGGATTCCATTTATTATTTTATTAGAAGTTCTGTACCTAGGCCGGGCGAAGTGGCTCACACCTGTAATCCCTGCATTTTGGGAGGCTGAGGCAGGTGGATCACAAGGTCAAGGGTTCGAGACCAGTCTCTACTAAAAATACAAAAATTAGCTGGGCATGGTGGCGGGAGCATGTAATCACAGCTACTCAGGAGGCTGAGGCAGAAGAATTGTTTGAACCCGAAAGGCAGAGGTTGCAGTGAGCTGAGATCTTGCCACTACACTCCAGCCTGGGCAACAGAGTTGAGACTGTGTCTCAAGAAAAAAAATTTCTGTACCTATTTGGGAACTTGAAATTAAATTGTCTTTTCCTGAGTTTGCCCAGTTATTTTTAAAGTAATACTACATCATGGGAACACATTAGAGATTTTCTGTATTTTTATGTTTTGTATCAGTCACTAAAACGTAGAAATTATCCCATTCTGAATTTATTATAAAAATAGAATACTCGCCACTAAGAATATCTCATTAGCATATTGCAACTTAAAGTCAGGAAATCTAAACTTTTTCTGGTAATATTACCTATATAATATTTAGTTATTTAATTTTTTTCTCTTTTAGTATATGATTTTTAGTGTACTTTAAAAAATATGCATAACATTTCCTTGAATTCTATTAATGGACTTCAATGCTTTT